TAATTCCCTAGATAGCCAAATCTGCGGATAACAAAATAGCAGATCCATAGCCTACTGTGTCCTTATTGTGCTCATGTTGTGTGGAAACAGACAGCGTCTGTTGAAATAATCTTATGGCAGGTTGGCGGCAAAAATGGCTATTTTTGTTATTATTAACAAACGCTGTCCACAGAACACGAGCTTAACGCAGACACAGTAGATTATGAATCCGCTGTGGAATTTTGTTATCCGCAGACTAGCTATCTGAGTTATGATTTTATCATAGATAAATATCAATTACACAAAGAATTATGTGATTCTTGAGTTTGTAGTGAAAAGTGCTACGGACGTTCCTGGAAGTTGGTCTCAGAAGAAATTTAACTATGCACGTTACTGCCTCTCGAGCATGCTTCGTGCATAGTTACTCCATCCGTTGTTGATAATGAAGAATGGCTGCAGTATGTACATAGCCCATATTACACCGTCCCGATGAAAATATCTCGCAAAATGTTTACACGCAATTACATATCATACTGTTGTCATGAATAAAGTACATACATGTTTTACGTGTAGCGCGCATCCGCATGAACTCAATAAACATCAAAACTAAGAAATATTATATTAATATCACTATTTTCCACTCACCAATGTAAGTTGTAATATATATATGTTGTACGTAACAGTTACATTGTTCAATAATAAATTATAATATCCATTTAATGTAGATGTTAGTTGGTGTTTACCCGGAAACTTGTCATCGATGGTACAGAATGTACATATTATTTTACGAAGTGTTTCGCTATCAAATGCCACAGCGTGTAGATTTCACACTTGCCTTGTTCGATAAACAACTGATAGGTTTTTTCTTTGTAATTTGATTATGTGGCAGTGCTTTGAATAATAAGATTTTAATAGACGCGAATGAATTGCACGAAGAATATCAGTTATGAGCGTTATTTTTTGATGAAATCAACTTATACGGTGAGAGTATTCGATATAATATTAAGATGTTGAATTAATTCTGATCTTTTGTCAATTTTTTATCTTTATTTTAAAGAAATGGTTAAATTTACATCAATCAAAATATTTTCTGTTGTTAGCTATGACTTTTTTCTCATCTTTCTGGCAACATAGAGATTCTGCGATGACAATGATCTGTCTTCCGAAGCAATCCAATTAGACACCTATTTTTGCACATTCTCGTAATTATTGAAATGTGTATCTGCCAAAACGTGCTGCATCGATCGGAATAGATGGTAATCAGATGCTAGCTCTGAAGAGTATGCTGGATGCGGAAGGATTTCTCATTCGAGCTCTAACAATATTCGTCTAATGGTTGAAGCAACATGTGGACGAGCATTATCGTGTAAAAGAATTACTTTGCGTCTATGGCTTATTGCGTCTGGCCTTTCTTACATCAATTCTATGGTGTATATTGGCCTTTTTTACATTAATTCATCATTCAATTTCAATTGTTGCTGATATCGCTTCCCCGTAACTAGTTCATTCACTGTTAGAAGCTCATAGTACGCCATATCTTCTATATCCCACCAAATATAAAGCATTACTTTGTGACCATGAATGTTCCGTTTTAATTGATGTTGGTGATTGTCCTGGATTATCCCATGATTTTTTTCGCTTTGGATTATCAAAATAAATCAACTTTTCATCTCCAATTACAATTTGCCACAAAAACTCTTTCTTTCTATCTGGCAAACAAAACATGGCGATATTCAAATAATTTGCAATGGCATTTTCATTCAATTGGTATGAAACCCATTTGCCTTCCTTTAAATCTTTCCCATGGCGTTTAGAAATTGTTGATTTATCGACGTTGAGTCAATTGTTTTTCCGTTTGAGCAGTGTTTTCACTCAATAATGCTTGCAATTCAGAATCTTCGAATTTGTTTTGGTTGACCAATACATTCTTTATCACTCAAATCAAAATCACTACTTTTGAATCGTTGAAACCAAAATTTAGTTGGAACACGATGGAGCTTGATCACCATAGGTTGTAATAAGCATTTCATAAGTTTCAGTTGCCGATTTTTTTAAATCAAACAAAAAAAGTAATGGATGTCGAAAATGCAATTTATACGATCCATAGACGCGTATAAACAATGAAAGTATCAGTAATAATAGCGCGCAACCTGTTAAATGTCATAGAGAAATGTCAAATCTTTCAGTGTTGCCAGATTTCAACATTCGTATTAACTATAGCTTGTTACTATTGCTAGGAATCAGAATTAATTCAACCTCCTGATATATTCTTAAGACGGATTTCTTCGTAAGTTATGAATTGCACAGAGATTATTTGATAACGCGTATACGGTTCAGTGGCTGCGGAGTTCAGAACGGAATGGATCAAATGGATAAAATAGATTTATATAAAAAGTAGTTTATCATCTAAGTATTTTTTTATTTTATTACGTATATAGAATTCTCGCGCAGCTGTGTAACTTCAAGTACATATGAAACTCAAAATGATCTATCACAAAGCGGGCAAGTCGAAAGTGGCGTAGCGTAGATCAAAAGGAGCAACTTATTTCGTCTTTTTGATGCGATGAACGGATATATCATTGATGACAGATATCTTGCCTGTGATTAATATTGAAAAATTTGCTCCGTAATTAAAAATATGGGAACATTAAAATTACTACACAACTACCACACGACTTTTTCTGGAATTTTCTTATTTGTCGTTTTTACATTAATTAGTAAAACCGTTTTATTACATCTATTTACGTTTATTTGTCTCGTAAGTTTTAAATTGGGAAAGTCGCCAATTGTATATTTACTACTAACAAAGTTGCTCGTTCCGAGATGCGCTACGATCTTCTTAGAGTTTGTTCCCGCGGTAATGCGACGTTTTATTGCATCCGACCATTGCATTTTGTTATACCTTATCTGCACACAGGGGTCAAGAAGCAAACGCATATGATTACTATTCCCTTTTTTCTCCTGCCCATGCATTGTTATATAGAAAAAAGAAAGCAACAGTTCCCTGTTTATTTTGAAAAATTCGTGCTCAAGATGATTTCGTTTCCTTTTTCATCTGTCTTAAGTTTGAAGAACATTAATATTATTGCGTAGTCTACATTGTATTGTGTCATGGTAGCGATTTCTTCTGAAAGTATTGCGACATGCGTACATGTATATGTATGGGTTCTTACGCGAATGCATCCAAAAATTCTTTTGTTAAACATCAAATGCATCCTCTGTTCATCTCGTACATTATCCCGCTTATTCTGTCAAAGATTTTAGTATCGGATTTAATGACGATTTCCATATAATCTTAGGAAAATATGAGATTTATTTTTAAGGCCGCTATAAATTTTTTAGGCAATTCGCATAAATACATAATAATTTTTATTATTTATTAAAAGGCTGCGACATTAGCTTCGGTTATTTTATCTTCGTTATTTCTCATGTCGCTAAAGTCGTTAATGACAGCGCGTCGGCTATTGTATTTAAATCATTTATTATAAAACTAAAATATAGCCACGACATCGTCCGTTTGTCATTTTATTATCGTTCTCTCATAAAAATATAATATTGTAAACATTGCCGGCAATGGCAAGCGAATGCATTTAAGGGTTTAAGTCGCGTTTTAAATTATCTAACTGGGTGTTTCGCTGACAATAATACTCATACTTCATCACAAAATCTTCTCGAAGACATTCCTGCTTGATTTATTTGCAACGTGCGATGTGAGTGTTCAGAATTAGAGAAATATACATGCTTACCAGTGAATCTTTGGCAGTCAGTTGTGAGACGAGATGTGTTAATGAATATTTATCGTTCATGTTCGGTTTCTTCGGCGTCGTTTAACGATAACTGCAATTTATATACAAAGTGGCTCCAACTACATAACTGTAGAGAGTTATGGAAATAATACAAATATTGAAAAAAAGTACAAGTACTGTTGTGAAAATAAGATAAATTATATTATTAAATATTGATCAAGACGTTTTTCATTACAACATATGGCGAATAGAAATCAGTGCTAATCATCGTCAAAGATATCGATCTTCACACGTTTTTTGAATCTGAACGCGTGTTCGTCGTCTGTATGTAGGCGTATGTGCGTACGTGCGTGCGCTTGGCTCCATTTTCACGCGCGCGTGTCTCATTATATATAAAAAAATCGATTATATGCGCCTCGCAATGATGACAGCAAGATTCGCATGCCTTTATAATTAAACATTATATCTACGCGTTTGCTGAATCTCGAGCGACGTCACGATTATCGAGAAGATACCTGTTTATGTATGTTAGCTTCTCTTGGTCTGATAGATTTAATATTGCTGGACAATAAGTAAGACTCAATCAGTACAAACAGTACGCGCGTAGTAGGCGCCTCCGTGTCTTCTAAAATGTGTAATATTATAGATAGTAGTAACTTGTAATAGTAGCAATAATACGATAATAGAATAGCAACTGTAACAATACAATAATATAATATTAGTTGCGACAATAATAAAAGTAGTAATAGAGTACTAGTCATAGTGACAGCGGTAATAGTAGCGGTTGTAGTTATAATAGTATTATAGTAGTATAGTTATATTCATAGTAGTAGCACAGAGCGACGTGGCACCTAAGTACGCGAGCTACACGCAGAGATTTTAAAACAGACGCCGCTTAACATATCGCTTAACAGACAGTTTATCGGCGTGTCTCAATGAGGACAATGTGTAGCGTTGGTATTACTTTCAGTAATGTCTAGGTAGACAGAACCTGTCAGAGCGCTTTGTCGCGCGCGGACCGACCTAATCGTCCTTTTTTTCTCTCTCCTAACTCTCTCTCTCTCTCTCTTTCTCTCTCTTTTTCTCTTTTCTCTCTATCTTTCCTTCCTCATCCTGACTTTCCCTTGCTCTCTCTCTCTCTCTCTCTCTCTTTCTCTCTCTTTTTCTCTTTTCTCTCTATCTTTCCTTCCTCACCCTGACTTTCCCTTGCTCTCTCTCTCTCTCTCTCTTTCTCTCTCTCTCTCTCTCTCTCTCTCTCTCTCTCTCTCTCTCTCTTCGTCCCCCCTCTCTCTCCCCTTCTCTCTTTCGTTTTCTTTTCTATTTAAGAGAAAAGAGGAAGGTATTCGCAACATTTTACATTCCATCACTTCATTATGCTAATGGCAGCAATTTCTCTTTTCTTTGACTTACAGCGTCGTGATAAATGTTTATACCGACTGGAAGGGATGGACTTTTTACTTCCCTGATGTTGTATATCGATACCTATTCAAGTATCCAAATACAGAATATCTCATGTAGAAATGGAGCTACTCGTAGATGCGTTATAACGAAAGCTTCACATTCAGTTGTCCCGAACGCATCGAAATGGTTCGTTTCGATTGTTCTCGTAGTGTCTCCGTTTTTCCCTAAACGTTCTTTACGACACAGAAAAGAGACGCGTTACCACGAAACATTTCATAGCTGCTCCTTTCTTTCTTCTTACGAATCGTTTTACATCCGACGACAAATTCGCTCGTTGTATCTAATCTCCAATTATACAAGCGGCGCGATTATACAAGTGCTTTTCTATCGTATGTCTCTTGGCGACCTTCGACGAATTAAGTGCGGCACAATGAGTCCAAGGATCAATACCGACAGAACGCGGATCACGAATTAGCGGCGTGCACGAACGACATTTCTGTTGACCATGCTGCATAGTGAGGTACAATGTCTTACATTAGTACGTTTGATCATCATAAGCTAAGCATCATTCTCTGCTTGGCCGAGCTTCGCTTGCAGCATCCTACTTATGTATATCAATCTACCTACTTATAATTATCTACATACTCTATCTATATCTATCTTCCTACCTACTCAATGTAAGAAAGAAAAAAGAAATGGAGGAAAGTGTATGTACGTGGCTGTACATGGTCGAGCGATCGCGAATCTACTTGTTTGGTAAGAGTGCTTTCAAGAGCTATCACACGTGAGAGAAGATGAAGAAGTCGTAGACGAATCCACCGTGAGTTCACACTTTCTCTTACATCATGTCCCCCGACCCGTATTCTCGAATTACTGCTTAACTCTTCCTCTCGTCGGGAAGATCCTCATACTTCAAGTGTCCCGCTTGTTCATTTTAAGTAATCCATTTGACTTCACTTGTAAGATTGGCGGTCAAGAAACTCGCAACTCCTGTCAGAAATCCCGACTTCGTAATTTGTGTTTTAGCCACGCGTTGTCCTTTCTGCGTTTACCATATAGATACGAACGTGATGCGAGTTCTCGCGATTATTAGCGTCCTTGCCTTTGTGTCTCTTCGAGACGATATCTTCAGTCTTGGGGAAAAGCTCGAACCCACCGTAGATCCGACCCACGCAACCGAGCATCGTTATTGCCTGTCGAGAGGCTTCGTTGTCGCTCACATCAGCGATGAGATCTCTCAAGGATCGTTGTGCGCCACTCTACGAGATGCCTTTATAGTGAACGAAGAAGAAAGTGAGGAACACGAAATAGGCGACTGGGAAAGTAATCCTGGCTATCACGTCGATCGTCTTCGCAACTCTAATCGGATGTGGCGGTTCTTTTTTTCTTAGCTGAAAGAAAAAGATTTCGTTATCGCGATGCTTTAGAGCAACTGTTGCGCCAGCAACGTATCAATTGCTTGTAAATTTCAATAATAAAATAAACTAAAAAGATTAACTATTAACTATTAAATATTAAAAAACTTTTTTTAATTATTAGGGCGAATCTTTTCACATGCAACATTTGCTATATATGCACGATCAATTTTATTACCTATCAATGTAACAAAAAGCTTTTGCGATGTAAGGAAATAGTAGATCTGACTTCTTGGATTGATACTGCGTTTATCGTTAATTTATTTTCGATGTTTTCTGAATGATTTTAATTCATTTCGTAAAGGAGAGATAAAAGCTGAAACTATCAATTCTTTCTTTATCAAACTAGATCTTTCCCCAACTAACTTGTCTTCGAAACATCTATATAAAAAAATTTCTATAGAGAATTGATAGTTTTACGTCATTCCTTTCGAAGAAGTGAATTAGAATATTCATTGACTGGAATAAATTGATGGAATAAAACGGTAGACGCGGTACCAACACGAGAGCCAGATCAATTATTTACGCAGACTATATAGAATATAATATAGCCTACGCAGACTATATAGAATATAATATAGCCTTAATATTCAGGATAAGATTATTAGCATTTTCTAATCATACGAATTCCTTTCTAAACATTAACATAAAATTATCATAATGATATGAGAAATGTACTGTTTTGACAGTATTTCATCTACTTTGATTAATCAATGCACAGTAAATAAATATTGCTTATAAAATCAATAATTAATCAATTAAACAATTCTAATAATTTAGTTATACAAAATGTTAAAGCTATTATGCCGGTTTCTGTATAAATTTTACAGTTAAATACAACCGAATACATATACTAGGTGCGCAACTAAGTTTCCGGGTTTTTTGATCAATGAAAAATGGAAAATTTCAAGAGAAATACAAAAAATGGTTTATTCAAAGTATCGTCCCTTGCTAGCTACACATTTTTGCCATCTCTTTGGTAATACATGAATACCGCGACGATAAAACGACGCGTCTTTGGACCGAAACCATTCATCCAACCAATTTTGCACTTCTTCGAAATTGGCCAAGTGTTGCCCAGCCATGCGCCATCGACCGAAACAAGTGATAATCGGAAGGGGCCAGATCTGGCGAATACGGCAGGTGCGGTAGCAGATCCCATTTCAGCGTTTTGATGGTATCTTGGACGATGAAAGTGCGATGGCACGGAGCGTTGTCGTGCTGCAATATCACTCGTTCGTGTCTCGTGTTCCATTCTGGCCGTTTTTCGAGCAATGCATGGTTCAAATTGATCAGTTGTTGTCGGTAGCGATGCCCATTGACAGTTTCGCTCGGTTTCAGCAGCTCATAGTACACGATTCCTTTCTGGTCCCACCAAACGCAGAGCATTATCTTCTTTCCGAAGCGATTTGGCCGTGCCGTCGATGTTGATGCTTCGCTAAGTGAAAGCCACGATTTTTTGCGTTTGGGATTCTCGAAATATATCCACTTCTCATCGCCAGTAACAATTCGATGCAGGAAACTCTTTCTTTCATGCCGCAAAAGCAAAATTTTGGAAGTGGCTCTTCGATTTTCCATCTGTCTTTCAGTCAACTCATGCGGCACCCATTTTCCTCCCTTTTGAATTTTTCCCATGGCATGTAAATGTTTGGAAATACCTTGGCGAGTCATATTTAATACCTCCGCAAGTTGATCTTGTGTTTGCGTATCATCTTCATCCAATAATGCTTGCAGATCGGCGTCCTCAATTGTTTTTGGTCTTCCGGAGCGCTCCTTGTCCTCAGTGTCGAAATCGCCACTTCTGAAGCGTTTAAACCAATCTTCACAGGTAGTTTTCGATGGTGCATGTTCGCCGTAGGCCTCCTCAAGCAAACGACGTGCTTCAGCTGTACTTTTTTTCAAGTTAAAGCAGAAAAGCAAAGCTTCCCGCAAAAGCTGTTTATTTGGCACAAACTCGACATCTTCGTTGTTAGAAAAAATATTTTTGCGTTACGATATGTGTTGGTATTACAACTGGTTATTGTTAACAGATGCCCAAGCTATAAAAAAAATACAACTTCAGACATGTATGTCGATTACATGTGTCGTTAGCGCCATCCATGTGTGAAACCCGGAAACTTAGTTGCGCACCTAGTATAATGAGGTACTCCATTTTAATTTAAGCAATCAATTTCTGAAAATCACAAGGTTCTAAAAATAGTTGCTTCTTATAAAAATGTTATGACCTCGGGGAAGACATAAGATGGTGCTATTGATTTGACCTTGGATAGTTTGAAGATTATATGAAGGTCACCTTAAATTTCTTAAATGGAAACTCATTTTTCATTGCATATTTTTATAGCTTACCTTGAAGTCTTTTCAAAATATTGTAATCAGTATTTTTTCATTGAGTACTTTTCAAGTTATAAGACTTGGAAGTTACAATACGGCCGACATTAGCCTTCCAGCAAAAAACAGATATATAACTGTTACATGACAGGATAATAAAACGGAATGTAACACGCGATAGAACAGGTATGTAGGATAGAACAAGTTATATAGAGTTAATTGTAATTTTCCACTTAAATGTACTTACAATTATATAACAGAAATATATCCCGTAAATAATGTTATTCTAAAAAGTTATATTTATATTAAATTATTATACATAATATATTTTTGTTGAATTTTGATAAATTTATCCATTCGTATGGTTTAGACAATTTAATGTTTTATTATCTTTTTAAAATAATAAAAAATATGTATATTATATTTCGTATCGTTGCACTCATACATGCGTAAGTTTCGAGCTTGTAGTAGGTTAGTGGTCACTTATCATCCCTTGGATGACCATATTGTTCAATGCTTGACTTAAATGATCGCTCAAGATCTGCTGGTACCAATGGATTTTGACAATACCTTGTTGGATTATGTTTATATTGGGTCTATGCATAATTCCGTAACGAAAATTGAATAAATTTCAAACGCAAAATATTTAGCAAAAAAAACGGTTTTGATCAACTAAATATGTTCCATTCAGTTTAATGACTTTCTGTCATCTCTCCACGAGCTTCATTATTCCTCTTTCATAGAAGCCCTGAGATCTTTGGGCAAAGAAGTCATCCAAATGGTTTTTGAGGACGTCCAGGGAACTGAAGGTTTTATTATTCAAATTGTTCTGTAACACCCGGAACAAGTGATAGTCTGAAGGTGCAAGGTCCGGACTATACGGTGGGTACACCAAAAAAACATCCCATCCAAGCCGCAATAACTTTTGCCGGGTCATCAAAGAAACGTGCAGTCTAGCGTTGTCCTCGTGGAACACAACGCCCTTTCTGTTCGCCAATTCGGGCCGTTTCTGATCGATTGTTCGTTTTAATTTGGCCTGTTGTGAGCAGTACTTGGTCGAATCAATCGTTTTGTTGGGTGGCAGCAGCTTATAATAGACGATTCCTTTCCAATCCCACCAGATACAGAGCATGACCTTCTTCGAGTGTAATCTAGCCTTTGCGACCGTCTGAGCAGCCTCCCCGCATTTCGACCATGATGTTTTTCGACTGACATTGTAGATAATCCACTTTTCATCGCCACTTGATCATCCGCTTTAAAAATGGTTCGTTTTGATGGCGTTTGCGCAGCAAATCGCAAGCTGAAATTCAATCCTTTAAATTCTTTTCGCTCAGTTCGTGCGGCACCCAAACATCAAGCTTCTTTATCCTAAGCTTCCGTAAATGTCTCGAAACAGTTGATTGGTCAATGTTGAGGTTATGTCCGATCTCTGTAGTCGTCAAATGTTGGTCGGAGTCGATTAAAGCCTTGATTTGATCGACATCAGTAGTGACTGGCCGACCAGAGCGAGGAGCATCTTGAAGATCAAAATCTCCGCAATGAAATTTCGCAAACCACTTCTGACACACACTTTCGCTTGCGGCATTCTCTCTGTACACGGTGCATATCTTTTTGTGAGTTTGCGACGCGGTTTTGCCTTTTCGGAAATAAAAAAGCAAAATGCACCAAAAATACACGTTTTTTCCTTCCATGTTCAAAATATAATTAAACTTCGTATATGTCACGATCTCGATGAATACTTTCTTAAAATGTCGGCACGAATTTCTGCTGTCACTTAATGTACGACACTTCATATGTTTGATACATGTGCGAACGGAAAAACAACTGCGAACGACATCTGTCGGAATTTCGCTACGGAATTATGCATAGACCCAATAATATATTCTTACTTCACCCAAAAACCATTATAATGATATATTTGCTGGTATAAATATTGGAAACGATGTAACAATAACCACAATACGACTAATATTGATAGAATATATAATACGTATATCAGCAAATCAATAAAAAATGACCACTTCTAAAATTTTAATCGAAAGTTGTAATAAATTAGAGCAAACAATAAATTTATTTGCAAAATACAAGATACAAGACAATTCATTGATAATTATGACAAGATTTATGTTTGTTATAATCAATAATAGAGCAATATAACAATTTTATGACACAGTTATATTGCAGTTATAAAAGAAGATTAAATAACCTCAATATATTAATAAGATATAACAGTTATATTATGTATTACTTATACGTTATATTATGTATTTGCTAGGATTATTCAAGATATACCATACGGAGGTTGCCCGGTCGAATTTATACCTCTTTTGTGTATATGTGTGTGTGTGTATGGGAGGGGGACATTTTTGGCGAGTTAATTGTCGAGTTCTTCATTCAATGTGAAAAATAGCAGAAGTATTGGGATTGGGACTACCAATTTGGGAATCGATAGCTGAACCCTGTCCTCCTGTTATTGTGTCGACATTCTTTAAGTATCAGGAGAATATCAACAATTTCAATGGGAGAGTAATCTGACTTTGTTATGATAGATGCGAGACAATTCTGTTTTCTAAAAGATTGTTCTAAACTTGAATTGCATTAAATTGAACTTGCAACCGTATGTCACAAATTTTCTTCAATCGGAACGATTAGATTGTAAAACGTGCTTTCATTAATGAACACGATAGTAATGGCATTATCTATGTAAATTTCGAATCTGTGTAAGCAGACATACCTCACTTGATTTGACCTCTACGTCGCATACCTTTGATAATTCTAATGCTGACAGTACTGTAACTTTAAGTCATACATATAGATATAGATATATATATATATATTCGAAAAGTACAATATCTCATGAAAAAATATCTTATATTGTGTTTTGGAAAGTTCTCGAGACAAGTTATAAGAATATGCAATGAAAAATGGGGGTTTCTATTTAAGAAATTTAAAGTGACCTTCACATAATTTTCAAACGACCATTTAAGGTCAAACTAATGATATTATTTTATGTTTCCCTCGAAATTATAAAATTTTTGTAAGGAACATTTTTTTCTAAAATTTGGTGATTTCCACAAATTCACCTTTAAATTAAAATGGGATATCCTATGTATATATGCGCACATGCTCATAAGATTCAAATTAATTGATCTTGTTCGAATTCTAAATGTCCTCTAACATTTTTCTCTCCCTAGGAGAATAGCATACTTCAATACCTTTTTAAGTGGTTTTTTATTATTATAAGACATAACATATATTTAGTATCAGTAAACTCTATACTATATTGGGAAGCTCACTATAGTGCTTAACATCCAAGCATAAAAAGAAAAAAGACAAATAGCTTAGAAATTATATCTTTTTCTGTCTATTAAGTTTTGATTAGTCAACGATTTGCTATGATCCTTACTGCAAACCTTAGCTTTACTAACATCCATAAATTTTATTGTAGATATGAAACTTATTATCGCACGTCTTTACGTCTAATATATCGTTGAAGTCAATGTTACAATCAATGTTTTTGACTCGAAGAGAAAAAGACAGATTGATTATATTTGTCCTTGTCTTTTATCCTCCCATTTGAGTGAACCTTCCAGTATAATATAGAATATGCGTAAAGTCCGTTCTATAATAGATGTAATTTAGTCGTTTACTCCAGGCATATATTTTCTGGCAAAGCATTTTCCATTAATGCCTTAACTGCTAAAATCTGATGATCTCACTTAAGGCTTAAGGATTGCGATTTCAAATAACAGCGGAAAACGTTTTTAACCAAAAATTGAGTCATAATTTTGGGCAAAAGGCTAAAGATTTATTAATTTTATTATGAATCGGAAATAACACTTACCTCGGCGGTGCAACCGTTTGTTGCTGTGTGCGTGCAGGGGTTAGGTCCGCAGTTAGTACAGGTAACGATCTCGTTGGGTCCAGTAGCACCTCCGGTGGTAGCTCCACCTTCCCGCTTCTTTTTACCCTGCCGACAGGGTCTCCGTAGAAGAAACTTATATTCTCAACAACAATATGTTATTTGAACAACGATCCACCCTTTCGATTTGCGCTCTTTCTACGTCTCCCCTCAGACCCGAAATTTTGTTCTCCTTGAATCTCCTTGAATCTATACGTGCTTAGACGAGTCTCAATTTTCCATGTTTCCCTTACGTATGTAACAATCGAATTTTTATACTTATCAAATGAATATATTTCAAACAGTTGGTAAATATGAAAGCAGAAACATTACAGTATTATATACGCGACACTTCGTTGCACCGATACGACAACGCAGTAATCGATTTTTCGCAGGGATACATGGGATGATTAAATAATCGTAGCGCGGCTTCTTACAAGCGTAATGACGTAAGCGTACTAAAGGCTTTGGTAAAGAGGCAATTAAGCTTGCGCCTAAAGGCGTGTGACATTTTCGAAAAGGATTGACGTAGAGACGCATCGGAGGCGAATAAAGTACGCACATAGCTGCGTTTAAACAGGCGGAAAACGTCCACTATTTTTGCGTATGTCTTGCCGAAGCGATTTAATGGTGATAGTTACCGTTTCGAAACAACGTTAAGAGCTCTCGATTCTATATCGAAAGAAGGGAGAAGCTGATGAAAATAGCGAGCGGTCTCCTCTGTTTAAGTAAGAAAGTGACACATACGTTCGTTTCTCTAATATGCGAGACTGATATAAATTTTACTACCTCCCATTACCTCAACGAATCATTACATTACGAAAGATTACGTATGATAAACTTCACTGTCGCGGTTACGTGAATCGACAAAGAATGTATAAGTAAAATATCGAAAATCACAAGGATAGATCATCTTCGCTTGCTACAAGTATTATCGAAGAGTGAATCGTTGCTTTTTATTAGTATTTAACGTTTCTAATATATACGTTATATCAATCAACACTTTCGTGCCTCTGTGTGTGCGTATAACTTACGAATTACATGCCGTATAAATCTCATCTACTCATGGTGTTCTACATCGGACTTAAACGGCTTGTTCACAATGAAAATGATTTTTTGCAACACATATTCGCGAATTATTTGCACGCGGAAATGCTGCTGCGATTTTTATTGCTAAGAACTAGAATCGTTAATGTCGATAGTTTTCTTTACGGTCAGTCGGATGCGAACATCATCTTCGTATAAATAACTGTACATTTCTAAATTATTCATTTGATAAAATACTTCTTCGAATATAGATCCTTTTACAAGATATATTGCAAGTGTCACCAACTAGGTTTTCGTAAAATTGCAATTTTCGAAGTTTTATAGGAGGAGAAAAATGATAAGAGAAGTACGAATAAACTACAGCGTTTATTTAAATTTATGTGATAATATAAGATCAACTTAGTATCGTAAAATGAGACACTTTGAAGGTAAAACAGTTCCGAGATAACGTTAGAACAACAATTTACTTCTCGACTCACTTTCTCCGTGATCTTTACGTTTCCGGTAAAACTTCGCGAATTTTCAAACGGATCCCCGCACCGCCTTATTGCGTTTCGAAAAATATTTCAAGCTTATATTATATCAAGCTTAGGAGTAAATTTCATGACAAAAGCGATTTGTCAGTACCATAGTCAAGGCGTGATTATACGTACATAATACATGTATATATGTCGCGAGCGTGCGTACGCGCATTGAATAGTGCAAATGTCCCGAGACTATTAAATCTTGTAAACAATGCACTACTGAAAGAATTATCTTTTTTATAAAAGTTATATAGTTTAAATATATTTATTTAACCCTATGCGAATGAGGCGAATAAAAATCACACCCTGAACTATGTGAGGTTTTGGAACCTAGGAAACAAGACATGGCAAACACAATATTACTTGTGATAAACCTATTAGTTGTAATTTCCTGCTCAACAATATAACTGTTATATAACGCGCGTATTACATAACAGTTATATTCTTGAATAGGAAATTACAACTAATAGGTATGTTATATATCACATTGTATTTGCTAGGGAGTAACATCTTTTTGAAATCCAACTAAAGACGACAGTTCTTCACACTTTGTCTTGATTTGAGGCAGAATGCGAAATTTATTTGCTTATAATACAGCAGTTTTAAAACTATCGGGATTAATTTAACTCTACATAGTCCGCAGGAGGTTAAGAGGGCTATTCTAACGTGCTTACCCAACTTTCTTGGGATGAATTTAACGAGTTGGTAAAAAACTTTAAATAGAAAAAGTATCAAGTAGCACACCTTTCTGGAGAAAGCATAAAAAATCAATTATTTTTGAACTTTGATAAAAAAAACTTTATATTGAAAAAAAGATTAAATAACAACTTTTTTTTGGAAACCGCAAACAAATAAATAACTTTTGTGTACAATATTTTATATTTTTTGATAGAAAAATGTCAGGTGCCTTTCTATTAGAATTTATTAACAACTCTCCAAATTTCTCCAAGGAAGTCAAGAGTACTGCATTAGAATAATTTTATCAAATAGAACTTTTGGAACTGTACAACTTTTGTAGAAAACATTTTTTTTCATGAATATGTTGTTTACGAAATTTAATTGTCCTGGATTATTGGCATTAGTCTGTATATACAGGGTGTCTCGTAAGCCATTTGAACGCTCATATGCATGTAAAACACATCAAATTGAGTAGGACCGCTATCACTTTGCAAACAATTACTGTGATCGTATAGAAAATAGCTGATTGCGAGATTGTCTTTTAGCAGCAATCAAATTGGATGCCTGCGACAAATAATTGTCCACGCGATGCTTACATCTTTTCTCTGCTTTTCTATGTTATTCGATATTGATTTATGAAGTCATAGTGGAACAAGGCTTATGATATTCTTTGTTTTATATCTTCTTTCGTAATAAATAACTCTACAAACTCAGTTATCTTTGGCATTATTTTTATCTGTAGTATAACTCCATAGAAAATAATTTAGTGGTGAAAAGTTCGATAAACGAGATAGCCATCGAATAGGTCTTATAAGACTAACTCATCTGTTCACAAATTTTTTATTCAATAACATGCGTAGATCTAGCAAAATGTGATGGTACTACCTTTGGTAGTGTAGAATCACGTACCACTTCTAACTTCTAATGGAATATGACTTCATACATTTTCTATTCTGTCTGCATAGAAACTTTTTAATAAGAGTTAAGAAATGTTTAAAAATTAATGAGTAACATTTTAAACGTGATAGAACGAACATGATTGATGAAAAAAGTGCACCATTATTCTTGTCACACTTGTCTTAGTCCCGTCACTGAAAATTTAAATCCCCATTACTTTTAATAAATTCATTTTAAGAAAAAAAAATATTTCGAAAAGAAATATCTTGATCTTTCCTATAAAGTACGAAAACAAAATTACAAAAAATTATGGAATTCTATTAAAAATTTTGAAACTTTTTTTCATCCAGCATAAAAAAGGATTGGAAAAAAGTCCAATTTTATATATTTTATAAACCCCATAATTATAAAGTTCCTTATAAGACAAGATATATAAATAGTTTAAATCAGTACATTTAGTTCCAAAAATATTAATTTATAATATTTTATATGGGTCACTTTGCATACCACATACGTATGCATCACACACACACGCATCCATCGCTTATTTTTTATTACACTGTTCTTTTCTATTAGTTAATTTGAACAACTTTTGTCTAATATTTTTTGAGATATTTGAGGAAAACTTGATAACTTTTTCAATATTTAACTTACGATATCTCGCTAACTATTTGTCGGAAGAAAAAGTGGTACTAGACTTTCTTGCTTTATTTAGTCTCAAGAATATATTGTTACAACAGCACCTTGATTTTTGTTAATTTGATGATTTTGAAATTTTCAAAAATCAGTAAGTTAACAAAAGTCAAGGTGCTATTGTAACAATATATTCTTGAGACTAAATAAAGCAAGAAAGTCTAGTACCACTTTTTCTTCCAACAAATAGTTAGCGAAATATCGTAAGTTAAATATTGAAAAAGTTACCAAGTTTTCCTCAAATATCTCAAAAACTATTAGACAAACAAAAAAATGTTTTAAACAATAGTTGTTTAAATTAATTGGTAGAAAAAAACAGTGTAATAAAAAATAAGGGTTCTCATTTAAAAAATGCAAGTTGACCTTCAAATGATCTTGAAAATAGAGGTCAAGGTCAAAATCAAGGTTATTATAAGCTCACTTAAATCCCTACAACTTTTATTCAAATCATTTTCCTTGAAACTTCAATATTGAAGAATTATTTGGGGTGGGACATTAAAATGGGACACCCTGTATAGTAATCCACATAAAATATTATAAGTATATATTGCTCGTATTATATTGATTGTATTTAAGCCTAGTTGTTTTTAATGGAATTTTAATGAAATTTTAGTGGAATTTTACAGGCATATATAGTATTTACTAAATGTAGTTGAGTGCTACAAGTGCAAATATGAAGAAACATTCAGTTTCCAATATTTAATTTTTAATTATGTGGTTAAATGAATTTTTTTAGAATTATATATAAAAGAAGAGTAGAATTCAGGAATGTGTTATGCTGAAATGTTTTATTTTATTAATGTTTAACAAGACTATAAATATTAATGTGTTGAAATATCATTATTAAGGAAAAACACAAGAAATTGAAAATGTTTATTTTTACATTTATTTTTTTACATGTTTGGATATAATTAGCATTTAAACAATAACAGCTGAAAATTAATGTCTAGTTCATATTTTGTGATGCTTCAGATGCAAAAACCTATTATTGTATGGTTTCATACGAATTTGTAATTTTGGTGGTCAATGATGTAATTTTAATTACAAATGATAGACTGATATAGGAGGTGAAAGATTTGAGCATTATTTAAAAGAAGTAAAATTTTTATTTAGTTTAGGTTTTGATCACAATCATTTATATTAGATTAGTATAAATCTATTTATATTCAAGAAAAAAAAATGAAAAAAATAAGTCTTCTAATTTCCTGTTTCTTTCTTGAT